AACCTGACGATTAAGGAACAGTGGGCATCACTCCTAGCAGGTTCTTCGATTGACCTCCTCATAGAAATTCAAACCATAGTGTTTTGAGTCTAACCCAGGGCCCTCTTAACACTTTGGTGTTCTTGGGCAAGGTCCAGAACACATCTGAGCCCCTGTTTCTCTATCTGTAAAATGGAAAAGTGATGCATGTCTTCAAGGTTGTGGTCAGAATTAAACAAGATGCGTGTGTGTGTGTGTGTTTATGTTTATATGCCAGACACAAAGCTGGTGCTACAATAAAAGATGGCAATACGGGTGGCTATTATTATTATTACTATTGGCAATCAAATAGTAAAGACAGGGTCTGATTCACTTCTGGGTCCCTGGTACACCATAGGTGGTACTGGGGAATGTGAATTCAACTACTGGGCCTTGGCTGGGCTACGACTTGAGAATGGCTCACGGGGGTGTGGTCATAGGCAGCAGAAGATGGAGGTGTGAGTGAGCTGTGCTGGGCCCCCAGCGGCCTTTCCCCCCTAAGAAACAGTCAGAACTGGAGTAAGGAGGCCTGTAAGGGAAAGGTCATCCTCAGCAAGCGCTCTCATTTCACAGATGGAGAAACTGTGTCAATGTGCCATGAATGTATTACACTAATTCCACTGGCTTCAAAGTAACTTTGGAATCCAAACAGAATAGCATCTGGGGGTACAAATCGTGGGTGCTTGCTCAGATTCCCCTAACAATCTGCTTTATTCCACCCTTCCCAGCCTTACTTCTCTTCTTCACCCTTGCTACCCTGGGCTTGCACCTCCCAAATAAAGTATTAGCATCTTAATCCTTGCATCAAGCTCTGTTTTTCAGAGGACCCAGGATAAGGTGGGCAGCATTTCCAAATTATTTGTATTTATTATAGGATTATTCAACATAAAAGATCCCCATATAGAATTATTCCATCTATTCAGATAAAAGTCTCTATGAATACGTACACCACACATACACATTTCTTTGAGCAAGAGTAGAAAGACCACAGTACCTTAAGCTCTAGGTGGATGCCTGTGGTGATGGACTTGCTGGTACAGATGCTCTTTCACCCACAGTGGTGGCTGCCTAGAATGTTATTCTGCATCAGATCTCATTTGAAGCTCTTCACAGCAATACGCAGAGCCTCCTGCCAGAGATTTGCCTTTTATTTCAAACTTTTTTTGCATATTTCTGATAAATAGAGCAAGGGGGTAAGAAAGCTCTGGGTCCTTATACTCTGCAGTGGGGAACTCTCTTTTTGTAATTGGTTCCTATGGAGTTTTTTCCACACCAACAACAAATTCTCCAATGCCAACCGGGTGCCCAACAATTTAATGCAATTCTGACACTATCTACCTGGAGTTAGTGTCGGATCCTACAAGTTGAAGGGCTTAGTCCTATAAGATTAACCTACTTGAGATGCCAGTTGCAAATGGGGTGCCTGGGGGTACCCATACTTCTGCTGGGCTGACTACAAATTCAGGAGTTCCCACAACTCCTCTCTCCCAAGTTCAGTAGTTTGCTAGAATGACTCACAGAACTAAGGTTTATTTTAAAGGATCAAATAAACCAAATGGAAGAGATGTATAGAGCAAGGTATGGGGTGGGGCGGGGCGGGGCGGGGGCTGGGGGTGGTGGTGAGATGAGAGCTTCCATGCCCTGTCCAGGGTTGTCACCCTGCCACACCTTGATGTATTTACCAACTTGGAAGTCCTCTGAACCTCACTGGGTAAGTGTTTTTATAATCCAATCACCAGGGCCCCTTCCCCTTCCTGGAGGTCGAATGAGGTGGGTGGAGTGGAAAATTCCCATTTCCTAATCACATATTTGATCTTTCTGGTGACCAGTCCCCATCCTGAAATTATCTAGAGGCCCCACACTGAGTCACTGCATTAACCTGAATTCAGGTAAAGTCAAAGTAGCTTGTTATGAATAATAAAAGACATTCCTATCACTCAGGAAATTACAAGGGTTTTAGGAGCTCCATGCCAGGAATAAATAAATATGTAGATATATTTAAATTTATATGTACATTTATATAAAAGTATATTTAAATAATAAATATATATAATTTAGAGATATATTACATGTATATTATATATAGAATATTATTTCACATATAAAATATTTATTTATGCTATAACATAGTATAAATAAATAGTATAGTATACTATACTGTTTATAGTATAGTATAAATATCATATATAATACATAGTATTTTTATCATACCACAGTTCTCCTCAGGGCACTGCCATTCATTTGTTTGCTGGATTGGCTACATGCAAATTAACTAAGCTTTTAGGTGTGGCTCTTGACAGGTTTAGCGAATATATGCTGGTTCTGCAACCCCTTCACATTTGGCTGTAGGTCTGATAGATATGCAGATTAGGCAGCCCTCATATGTTGATGCTGATAAGATGTTGTGATCACCATATCACCGGAACTTGGGAGTCATAATTCATGAACTCATATAGTCCACATTTCGAGTATACTCTATACAGTTTACACCCTCTCCTTGGATCCTCTAGACTGAGGATCAGGTAGATGAGAGATGAAGGCACTGAGACTCAGAGAGAGCAAGCAACTGGCCCAAAGGTCCACAGCAAGGCAGTGGCAGAGATGGGTGGAACACAGCCCAGAAGCCCTCCCTCTGCTGCCAGTAGCTTTTCTCTGTCGCATGACATTCCCTCTGCTAACCATGTAGACAGGTCACACTCAAGCTGGTCTCCTTCTTGACAGCCCATGTCTTGTGATTGAGAATTGTCAGACCTAGGAGAGACCTTACCAATCTGCTGTGAAGACAGGGAAACAGGCCAGTGGAGGTGGAGCCAGAAGTGGGACTCCCAGCGCCTGTGGCTTAGCCCCCGCTCATAGGCTTGAGCTCCGGGGGTATGACTAGGTTCAAATCCCAACTTCACCACTTATTCTCTGGGCCTTAGGCAGATTAACCTCAATTTTTGCATTTATAAAGTGGGACTAACAGCAGAACTCACCTCAAAAGGTTACTGGGGGGCTTCCCTGGTGGCGCAGTGGTTAGGAGTCTGCCTGCCGATGCAGGGGACGCGGGTTCGTGCCCCGGTCCGGGAACACCCCACGTGCCGCGGAGCGTCTGGGCCCGTGGCCCATGGCCGCTGGGCCTGCGCGTCTGGAGTCTGTGCTCCGCAGCGGGAGGGGCCGCAGCGGTGAGAGGCCCTCATACCGCAAAAAAAAAAAAAAAAAGGTTACTGGGAGTGGGCTTCCCTGGTGGCACAGTGGTTGGGAATCTGCCTGCCGATGCAAGGGACGCGGGTTCGTGCCCCGGTCCGGGAAGATCCAGCATGCCGCGGAGCGGCTAGGCCCGTGAGCCATGGCCGCTGACCCTGCGCGTCCAGACCCTGTGCTCTGCAACGGGAGAGGCCACAACAGTGAGAGGGCCGCGTACCGCAAAAAAGAAAAAAAAGGTTACTGGGAGGAGGATTAAATTAGATAACACATATAAAGCTTTATAATAGGGCTGGCACACAGTACACACTCAATATATTTTTATTTTTAGTACTATTTTTATTATAATCACGGTGGGGAGGACAAACTTTTCCTCTGCCCACTTAGATTAAGTGACTGGGCACCTGTGAGTTAAACTAACAAAAGACAGGTTAACATAAGAAAAGGTAAAAGTTCATTTACATATATACAAAGGAGCTCACAGAAAACGTGGCTCAAAGAAGCAGTTAGAATTTGGGGCTTATATACCATCTTATTTTGTTTCCCGACTTTATTGAGATATAATTTACATAACACTGTATAAGTTTAAGGTGTACAATGTGTTGATTTGATACACATACATTGAAAATGATTACCACGCAGCATTAGCTAACACCTCCATTATGTCACACAACTACCATTTCTTTTTTTGTGGTGAGAACATTTAAGATCTACTCTCCTAGCAACTTTTCAGTATGTAACACAGCATTATTAACTATAATCACCATGCTCTACAGTAGACTCCCCATAACTTATTCATCTTATACAGGGGAGTTTGTACGCTTTGACCATCATCTGCCCATTTTCTCCACCCTTCCCAGGCCCTGGCAACCACCACTCCACTCTGTTTCTATGAGTGCAACTTTTTTTTTTTTTGCGGTACGCGGGCCTCTCACCGCTGTGGCCTCTCCCGTTGCGGAGCACAGGCTCCGGATGCGCAGGCTCAGCGGCCATGGCTCATGGGCCCAGCCACTCACAGGCCTAGCCGCTCCGCGGCATGTGGGATCCCCCCGGACCGGGGCACGAACCCGCGTCCCCTGCATCGGCAGACGGACTCTCAACCACTGCGCCACCAGGGAAGCCCGAGTGCAACTTTTTTAGATTCCACACATAAGCGATATTGTATGGTATTTTTCTTTCGCCATCTCTTCCACTTAAGCATAATGTCCTCGAGGTCCGTCCTTGCTGTCACAAATGGCAGGATTTTCTTCTGTCTCATAGCTGAATTATATTCCATGGTGTGTATACACATATACCACATCTTCTTCAGCCATTCATCTGTTGATAGACACTTAGGTTATTTCCATGTCTTGGCTATTGTGACTAACACTGCAGTGAACATGGGGCTGCAGCTATCTCTTCAAAATCTCACTTTCATTTCCTTTGGATATATGCCAAGAAGTGGAATTGCTGGATCTTATGGTAGTTTTGTTTTTAATTTTGTGAGGAACCTCTAGACGGTTTTCCACCAATTTATATTCCCAAGAACAGTGTACAGGGGCTCCCTTTCCTCCACATCCTCACCAACACTTGTTATTTCTTATCTTTTTTTTTTTTTTTTTTTTGCGGTACTGCGGGCCTCTCACTGTTGCGGCCTCTCCTGTTGCGGAGCACAGGCTCCGGACGCACAGGCTCAGCGGCCATGGCTCATGGGCCCAGCCGCTCCGCGGCATATGGGATCTTCCTGGACCGGGGCACGAACCCATGTCCCCTGCATCGGCAGGCGGACTCTCAACCACTGCGCCACCAGGGAAGCCCTATTTCTTGTCTTTTTGATGACAGCCCTTCTAACAACTGTGAGGTGATATCTCATTGTGATTTGGATTTGCACTTCCCTGAAGATCAGTGATGTCCAAGCACCTTCTCATGTACCTTTTGGCCATTTGTATGTCTTTTCTGGGAAAATGTCTATTCAGTTCTTCTGACCATTTTTAAATTGGACTGTTTGGTATTTTCCGTTTGCTTTGGGTTGTATGAGTTCTTTGTATATTTTGGATATTAACCCCTTATCAGATATTATATACCACCTTAATAGGGAAAGAGGAGAAAGGGCACTTATGGGAAAACAAACAGCTTTTAGGAAAGATAAGTGGGCCCTTAGGAGAATAGCTGGGAGATGTGAGAGGTGTTGTGATAAGGTCTGTTTAGGTGAATTCTTATCCGGGTCTCAGGTGACCGGAGTCCGTCTTCTCTGGTTGTGAAACTCCCAGGAGGGAATTTATGACATGTGAATTATTTTGGGAGGTTCTGCTTTTAGGCAGATAAGGGGAAGTTCAGAGAAAGGCCTCCTCCTGCATCTGTTGATTCTCAGATATCTTCAGCTCAAAATAATCCTTAGGACACAGTGGTAGAGTTTGTACCCCTCCACTCATTACAGGAGAGAGGGCGGGGAGGATGGGAGATGCAGGCCTAGGTTGGAGGGCACCTGTCGGTTTTCAGGACACCTTCCAGACTCTTGTCCCTGGCTGAGGATTGGGGCACTGGTGGCCTCTGCTCCTTATCAGAGCTTGCTCAGCGCTAAACTGGAGCCATTCCATCCTCCGCCCCTCCCACCTGGGGCAATGGGGTGGCTGCAGGCTACACTAGGGAACTTCATCCACAGGTGAATAAAGCTGGGATGGGGGGAGGGGGCACTCCTGCTGGGCTGCAAAAGTCCCCAGGCCATCCCTCTACGAGGGAGGCTGACCCTTTTCCCTGCCCGCCCCATGACGTCAAGGTCCCCCAGGGTAGAGATCTTGCCTGGTCCCCCTCTGCAGAGCTGCACGAGCCAGAGGCGTACTGAGCACATTGGACTCATGGTGGACCGTTCTTTAACACTTCCCTCCTTTGCATTTATCAAACAAAAATATTACACCTCCTACTCGGCTCTAATTTCACAAACAAAACCTCCAAGCTGTCACACAGCGTGGCAGAATTGAAACAGAACCCTCAAGTTCTGTTTCTTTGCCTTTACAATCACTGCGCTGTCCTTGCTTATTTAGAATCCACTGTTTAAATGCAGGAATTTGTGCTGCAGGGACTGGAGATGGGGTGGCCCGGTGAGGAATGACAAATGAAACTGTGCTTGGAGCTTGGCTGGCCTGTGTGTAACAGGGAATTCTCTGAGTGAGCTTTCCTGTAGAACCCAACATTTATTAATGAATATGCAGTAAAAGTGGTAATTTGAATCTTATTTATTATAAAAATTACAGTAATTGGAATAATTGTTTAGAACATCAACTAATAAAAGACTTTCAGAGGGGAGTATTTTGCCACTGACAGGGTTTAGGACTGCCAGCACATGGGAGAATAAAAGGCGGATAGACTTTATTCTGTTACTGTTTTAAAGTTCTCTGCATACATCCCCCTCCCCCCTTATTGCCTACACTTGGAGTATACAGCTTCCACCATCCTGACCTTTGCATATCAATAGCACAAGCTGTCTCCACCCTCATGACCACCCTCAGGCTCATCGCCTCTCACCCTTGAGCCAGAAGTTGGCTGGCCACATTGCTGGGATGTTACACCCCAAGGCCAAGATGGCTTCCTACTTTCTCTGGCCTCCAAGACCTCCCCATCCCCTACTCCACCCCAACCCATTCCTGGCTGGACAGCCTCCTAGACCTCAGTTCACTTGAAACAAGCTCTTAGACATAATTCAAGTGGGCAAACTGAGGCTGCAGGAAGGAAAGAACCTCTCCCAGCGTGAAGCTGAGGGTCCCAGCCCCCTTAGTGACTGCTCAGCCCCAGCTCGGCTTCCCTGCAACAGTCAGGCAGGAGGAAGGTGAAGGGAGGCCCTGGGGTGGGCTGGGGCACCACAGGGTTGATTTGCATCTCATCTGAATAGGCCCCTGCATCTCACACCCAGAGCAGCCCCACTTATAGAATCCCAGGGCTCAGGAAGATCCCTTCTGGCCCCCACCACCTCCCCTGTGCAGTGTCACTGAACCCCATTCCCTATCGGTGCCCATCCATGACACAGCCTCGCCCTTCCTGTGCCTGGTTGTGAAGCAGTTCTCCCTTGGAAAGGTGAGCAGCACGGGAGGGGCAAGGTCTGTTGGTTCAACCCCAGACGCTTCACCTGAGCAGCAAGCAGGTCTGGGCCTTGAGAAGGAAAACCCATCACTCACCTGGGTCCAAGAGGCACTAGAGGGAGGTAAGGCCCAGCGCTGAAGAGCCTGAGGGGACTGTGGTGCTTTGGTCTGATGCTGGGCAGAGATGACCTTCGGACGCCAGTCCTACTTTCACCTGGCTGTGAGAATGAGTTGAGTCAGGTGACAGGAGCTGGGACAGAAACAGAGCTGGGGGAGGAAGCTAAGGGCCAACTACTGATGCCCACAGGAGAAGCCCATCCTGAGAATGGGATATTCAGGCAATGCCCAACCCTCCAGTCCCCAGCCTTTGCTCAGACAGCCTGGCTGGAAGATATCCTTCCTGGCCATACTCCCAGAGAAGAGTCTCATCCCATCACCTGGGGCCCCTCAGGGGCCCCTTCTGGAAGCCATCACAGCCCTGCTGACGCCCACTGTCTACTTGTACTCCTCCAGTGACAGAAAGCTTATTAGTTCCCCGAAATCGTGATCACGGCCCCTAGGGCCCTAGTGAAACTGCGCAGGTCCCTATGGGGCTCCCGGGCACGGAAGCCTTTCAGACAGTTGCTAATCAGGGAAGGAAGGGGATGCAGAGACAAGGGAGGAGCAGCAAAGAAACAATAGTGTAGCCTTGGGGCAGGGTCCTGGTTCCACCTCAAGGGATACACACAACAACATCTTTGAGCTCTTTACAGAGCTAAAACCCCCAACAAATGGAAGATGTTAGCATTCTTCGTTCCAGAAGAGCTCATCAAGGGACTACCTGAGGCCAGATTAAAGGAGTACAGGCCCTACACACACCCTAATCCTTATTAGCAATCCCTCCCTTGAGCCATTGCTATAAAACTCCTCACCAAATCCTCCCAGATTGGGACACACGGTTTTTGAGGGCACAGAGCCCGCTGTGTCCCCCTTTGCCTGGCAAAGCAATAAAGCTATTCTTTTCTACGTCACCCAAAACTCTATCTCCGAGATTCGATTCAGCACGGGTGCACAGAGGTCAAGTTTTCGGCATCACTAGCTCTGCTGGGAAAAGTTTCTTCTTTTTGAGCTGGAACTTCTCTCCCTGGAACTCACCCCATTGGCTGGCCTGGCCCCAGACACTGCTGTAGGGGCGGAAAACTTTTCCCTTTTTCCCTTCTAGGCTCTTTGGCTGGATTAATAATTAAATTGACATAGGACAGATTAATAGGAGAAAAACAAATTTCATACATGTGGGAGCCCCATAAAAATATGAGACTCCCAAGGGCAGTCAGGAGTAATTGAGGCTTATATACCATCCTGAGCTAAGGAGAAGGGGGTAGGGGTCAGGGATAAGTCTTCCTGATGTGAAAAGTTATCCTTCCTGGTACAGGCCCCTCTAAATTCTTTTAGGCAGTTAGGGAGGAAGTAAAAAGCTCTTCCTGAGCCCTCCGGGACCCCACTGTCTTCAGTTCAAAATAATCCACATGCGAAATTGACACCTTCTGGGGTGGCATATTCTGCTTCCCCTCACTGTCACACCTGCCAGTGGTGTGGGGTGTACCCCACAAGTTCTGATTTATGATCAGTTCCCTCCAGCCTCCCCACGACACCACTTCTAGTCCAGTCTTAAAGTCTGTTCTGTTTTTTATCGCCTCATACTCTCTGGGGGGCATAAGTCACTAAAGGGTTGCAAGCCAAGGCTAGAGGCCTGCCTATCAGAGGTCTCATAAGTGTCAGGAGCCTCCTGGGTTCCCCAGCCCTGGGGGGGGCGGGAGGAGAAATATGGGAGCCGGGAGTTTGGAATCACTTCACACTTGGGGAGGTGAGGCTCAGAACCATTAGTCAACTCCTTGTCTTTGCTTTCACCTTTCCCAAAAGGAAGTGAGGAAATACCTCCTGAAAACAATGGCCTGCCTGCCACCTGCCAGGGTTGTGTTTGTCCAGTGAGCTCAGGCCTCTCAGACATGCAGGGAATGCAGAAGACCCAGCCTGGAATAATCCAGAAGCACCTACACACACACACACACACACACACACACACACACAGCCCTGGCTCGGCACCTCCCCAGACACGGGAGGGCGCTCACCCTGCACTTAATTTATCCCCCATTCTGCCCACGTAGGCTTGTGGACCACCGCCACCCAACTGATAGAAGAGACCAGTGAGCCGGGGCATGCTCTCCTCCAGCTAGACTTAAGGAAACACTTTTTTTTTTTTTGGCCACGCCACACAGCTTGCAGGATTTTAGTTCCCCGACCAGGGATTGAACCTGGGCCACAGCAGTGAAAGCTCCAAGTCTTACCCACTGGACCACCAGGGAATTCCCAAGAAAACACTTCCTGAGGCCGCAAACAGTGACCCAGGCACTATGGGGTTCCAGGCTCTGGATGAGCTTTGAAAGCAGGAGGGATGCCCAAGGGGTCAGGCAGGATAAAGCTCTCTGCAGAGTGAGGAACAGGCAGGGCTGAGAGAGGGGGAAGGTCGCCCAGTGCCTGAGCAGGTACTGAGGCCTAAGCATGGAGATGGGGGCACACGCCCACACCCACTGACAATGCACCCAACCCCACCCCCAGGTCCTCCACAACACAGGCGGACCTTTTACTGCCTTGTCTCTCCTGGTCTCACAACAGTCCTCTTTCACAGCTAATTCCTATCAGAGACCTGGCGTTTAAACTTCATGCTTCAGCCCGGCCTTCCCCAGAGCCTTTCAGACCTCTCTGGGAAGGGCCAGGCAATCCCCAGGATAGGCTGTGCAGGGGTCAAGTTCAGCTCAGGGTTCTGGGTTTCACATCAGCATTTAGTCCCAATCACTGGCCTGCTTGGTTGCCTCTGAGGGCATGTCACTCCAAGATTCCTTCAATGTGGTTTCAGTTCCTGGTGGGTGGGGGGGCGTCCCCTCTGATTCTTGATCCTGACATTGATCTCACAGTCCCACCTATCTCAGACCCCTTCTTACCTCTTCTAGCTTCCCCTCCAAGAGGGGTCAGGGGCCAGGGAAGGGGGTGCCTAGGTCAGCTCAAGGACAGATTCAGGATTAACAGCTTTTAGGGCATATTTGATAAGATTTGATTTCAGACCCCAGGGGCCTGAACACTCCCAGCAGGGGCTCCAGTAAGGCAAGTGAGGCAACTAGGGGGCAAAAGTTTAGGAGGCTCTCACCCTCAGCGTCCTGAAAGTGCAGGGTCAGCACGTAAGAGTGAGTGTCTCTTCAAAACAGTCTCTGACATAAATTGTACCAATCTTTTCTTAGGTCAGTCTCCCAGGCAATAGAAATAAAAACAAAAATAAACAAATGGGATCTAATCAAACTTACAAGCTTTTGCACAGCAAAGGAAACCATTAAAAAAGTGAAAAGACAACCTACGGAACAGGAGAAAATATTTGCAAATGATGCAACCGACAAGGGCTTAATCTCCAAAATATACAAACAGCTCATACAACTCAACAAAAACAAACAACCCAATCGAAAAATGGGCAGAAGACCTTAATAAACATTTCTCCAAAGAAGACATACAGATGGCCAGTAGGCACATGAAAAGATGCTCAACATCACTAATTATTAGAGAAACGCAAATCAAAACTACAAGGAGGTACCACCTCACACCAGTCAGAATGGCCATCATTAAAACGTCTACAAGTAACAGCTGTTGGAGAGGGTGTGGAGAAAAGGGAACCCCCCTACACCGTTGGTGGGGATGTAAGTTGGTACAGCCACTATGGAAAACAGTATGGAGATTCCTCATAAAACTAAAAATACAACTACCATGTTATCCAGCAATCCCACTCCAGGGCATATACCTGGACGAAACTATAATTCAAAAAGATACATGCATCCCTATGGGCATAGCAGCACTATTTACAATAGCCAGGACATGGAAACAACCTAAAGGTCCATCTACAGATGAATGGATAAAGAAGATGTGGTACATATATACAATGCAATACTACTCAGCCATAAAAAAGAATGAAATAATGCCATTTGGCAGCAACATGGATGCAACTAGAGATTATCATACTAAGTGAAGTAAGTCAGAAAGAGAAAGACGAATACCATATGATATCACTTATATGTGGAATCTCAAATCTAAAATATGGCACAAATGAACCTATCTACAAAACAGAAGTAGATTCACAGACATAGAGAACAGACTTGTGGTTGCCAAGGGGGAGGGGAGAGGGAGGGATGGACTGGGAGTTTGGGGTTACTAGATACAAACAATTACATTTAGAATGGATAAACAGCAAGGTCCTACTGTATAGCATAGGGAACTATAGCTAATCTCCTGGGATAAACCATAATGGAAAAGAATATTAAAAAAAAGTATGTCTATATAACTGAGTCACTTTGCTGTACAGCAGAAACTAACACAACCTTGTAAATCAACTACACCTCAATTTAAAAAAAAGGGGGGGGAATTCCCTGGTGGTCCAGTGGTTAGGGCTAGGTGTTTCCACTGCCGGGGGCCAGTTTCTATTCCTGGTTGGGGAACTAAGACCTGGCAAGGCGTGTGGTGTGGCGCCCACCTCCCCCCCAAAAAAGAGTATCTCTTTATTTTATTATTATTATTTTTGGTGTAGGCACTTTGCTGGCCTTACTTTAGCCCCAGATTAACATCAGGGGAGAAGAATTGAGGAACCTGGTCCTTCTGCAGGCAGGCAGGCATGAAGGAACAGAGCTCCTTGCAGCCAGAACCCAGGAGCTCCAGGCTGGCTCCAAAAGGAGAGAGGAGCCACCACGCAAACACAGGCAAAATGTTATGCAAATCAGCCTTTTGGAGGTTTGCATGGGGGTGAGGGTGGGAGGCTGAAGGAAGGAGCACCAGTAGGCAGTCTGCAGGGAGGGCACCTGGGTGGGTGCTGCACGCATTGCACAAGGGGAGGTCCAAAATCACTTCAAACTCCCAACCAGACCAGGACTTAGTAAAGCACAACTTATTGAGATAGTCGGTTGCCACTTTAGGTCTATTCCAGTGAATGAAAAAGACACCTTAATGTATTTCATTTACTCAGTGAAGGGGAGGTGCAGAGACAGGTGTTTGTGGGGAAGAGAAGAGTGGGGCAAAGCAGACAGGGGACACAGAATCTTCTCAGAGGCTGATTCTGCTTATCGTACCAGCCACTCAGAGTGCCCCAACCAGACCTCCTTCAGGCCATCCCAGGCCCCTCTTCCAAGAAGCTCACAGAAGCTCTCCTCCTGGGGGTCCTGCCTTGGGCTCACCCTGTAACCAAGCAGGACCCTCTGTGGGCTTCCCAGGACAGACACCCTCCCCCATATCCTCTGCTGTAACTCCTCTCTGAAGTACCCAGATAATAGTATCTCATGCATATTTCCTGAGTTTTTCAGAGGCTAAAATCCACCGCCAAATGGAAGAAATTAACTACTTGATGATCCTGAGCATGGTGCCCCCAGACCTACTGGACTAAGGACTGATAATGTTAACCACTCTGTTACCTCAACATCAACCAGAGAATTGTTCATGAGCTGATCACATACCCCGGCATGCCCCTCCCTCTCCTGGTCTTTAAAAATGCTTTGCAGAAATCCTCCGGGAGTTCAGGGGTTTTTTTTGAGCACAAGCCACCCATTCTCCTTGCAAGGCTCTGCAATAAATCTTTCTCTGCTTCAAACCCTGACATTTTGATTTGGTTTGTTTGGCCTCTGTGTGTCGGGCACACGAACTTGCGTTTGGTAACAACCCCATCAGCGTTTTAGCCTGAGGGATACTGGGGGAAAGGACTGGGAGAAGATGGAAAGGAGAAGCTGTGTTGTCCTCTTCGTTTCCCTGACACGAAGTGCTGGCGAGTAATGTGAGCATGACTGGGGAAGGCATTCTAGTCCCCTGAACGTCACTTCCATTGGGAAGCCCTCCTTGACTTACCCTCCCCACCCTCCTCAGTACCTCCTGGGTCAGGAAGAGGGGCCTGGCTGAGTGAGACTTGGGAGATCCAGAGTTGTTTTGCTGATTGCTCTTAGGTGTCCTGCCTTCTCCATCAGACCATGTCACTCCAATCAGATGTGATGTCATCTCCCCACCCATCAGTGTCCCTTTCAGAGCAGCCCTGGGAGAGCTGGGCTGTGTCTGCCCGTGGATCTCCCTTAGGCTGAGCCCGGCTCCCCCACGTGTGGGGTCCCACAGAGGATCTTGTGAAGATACCCCATACACACACTCTCTCTCCCCAGTTCTCAAGACATCACTGGGGAAAGAAGAGGACAGGATTATGGAGAAGTGGCCCAGAGTCCCAGAAACCACCGGTCACACTGGGACACGTGTTCTGAGTGCAAGTCTCCCCCGGCCACCCCATATGTATATGAAACAATGAAGCTGTATTTATTACTTGCAAAAAGAAAGAAACAAAACTGTATTTGCTATGAAAGCACATAATCTGTGCAACGCAAGAGCTGATCTTACACAGGGTATGGAAAGCATTCTGTTCAGCAATTGGCTGACTTTCAGAAGCCAGACTGTTTGCAGACTGGCTGACTTTCAACCTTAAAGTTTAGGAATTGGTTGCCTTTCAGAAGCGGTAGCGCTGGGGAATAAGGCTGTTGCTGATTGGCTGGCTCTCAGAAGTGCGGTCACTGGAATGAGACCGCCACCGATTGGTTGGCTCTCAGGGTACTGCCGTAAGGCTGTCAATGGTTCTGCCAGGTTTAAAATGGATCTGTTCGTGGCTTAGGGCTTGGCCCCAGAAGTCTTTTCTTTTCTTGAATTTAGAGAATAGAAACGTTTTATTTTCACCTCCCACACTCCTGACTTCTTCCCTCTCTGACCAGCCAAGCACAGATCATCTGTGCCCCAACTTTGTCCAGAAGAAGTTAGTCTGCCCAGGCCTGGCCATTCATTCCTTCAACACCTCTTTCTCGGGTGCCCACAATGGGGACCAGAGCTCTAGAAAGCAGACCAGATCCCTTCCCTCCTGGGGCTGGATACACCCTCCTGAGCCCAGAGCTGGGCACCCAGAGGGTGTTTAAATATTTGTTGAGGGGAGGCATGGTCAGTTCTACCTCCCAGGCCTCCAGGGCAGGCAGAGGAGACCTTGTGGCTCCAGGTCTGGCTTCCACTAGGGTCCAATCAGATGGGGCCTAGAGCAGCTGGGTGAGAACTCAGCTAAGGGAGGAGAGAGGGGCGCTGGGGAAGTTGGGGAAGTTCAGCACACAGCACAGTGCTGTCTGTTGCATGCTCAGATAACCACTGGCTTGGGCCTGGGTCCCAGAGCAAGGAGAGGGCTGCCTTTAAAGACAGCAAAAGCCCAGGAGGCGCGTCTGTGGAACCTCTGTCCAGTGCAGAGAGCCAGGTGGGGACCAATGGCTTGTTTCCCCCATATTATTTATAGACTCTGCTTTGTTCCAAAGAAGATTGGAACCTAAGCATTAAAAAGATTGGAATCTGTCAGTCTTCCTCACTAGACATACCCTGCATGAGTGGTTGAATGAATGAATGAACGAATGAATGAAAGGCTGTAAGGGGATTGCATGGTGGATTTGGCAGAACTGGTATAAGCCATACCCTTCGGTTTTTTTGCTCCTGTAAAATCTAGCCTCAGCACTTGCCACTCCCCCTGTTCACAGCTTACTTGTTCCTCATATCTGGGACCTAGTTTGAGTCCCTTATGGCCCAGCAGGGGTCCTAGTCCTCTTTGGGTGGTATTTTGGTCCTCACTCTGACTCTACTCCACCCAGCACTGGAGAGTTGAGGGTGTTCTGATGGTCTGGATTAGTTGGCTTTAACTCTTCTAGAAAATGGTGAGTACCTTTGGGAAAAAACAAAATACATTAATTTGGGTCCTAGGTCAGAAAAACAAGTTTATGTTTGGCTTTGGTCTGGGTTGGTTTTGGCCTTTGGCCACTGGTCAGGAGAGCAAGAGGGCAGGAAAGATTGTCTTGGCCCCAAAGCAGGAGAAGTGGGTCAAAGCCCAGCTCTAGCCAGAATCACATAAGGAACTGGGCCAGGCCTTCCCCTCGACTATTTATGCTAACACACATTTACTGAGTACCTGCCATGTACTAAGTATGGTGTGGGGCTCACATAGACTCTGCCCCAGCCCTCAGGGGGCTCAGAGTCTAGTGGGGAGACAGATAAGTGAGTAGGGCTTCCAGCATAGAGTGATCGGGGAGTGAGCAGAGGGGCTGTCTGAGTGCAGTGGAGGCCCCAGATTCAGCTTAGGGTGAGAGGTGACATCAGAAAGATGTTATGGAAGCAGGACCGGCTACATAACCTGTATGGCCCCATGCAAAATGAAAATGCAAGGCCCCTTGCTCAGATTTTGAGATGGCGATGGCAGAGCATTAAACCAAGCACTGGGCCCTTCTCGGCACAGGGCCTGTGTGACCGCACACATCCTACACCCACAGTGCAGGCCTTACTTAGAGGAGGAGACACCTGGGCTGTGTCTGAAGCATTAGTGTGAGTGTGAGGGAGGGGATGGGGGTGCATCGCAGGCAAGGGTGCTATGCAGGCCATGAAACAGCCCTGTGTGTACAAGGACCTGGCAGCTCTGTGGAATTCCCAGAGCCTTGTTTCCTCAGATCTGGGTCTTAATACCTATCCAGGAGCTGATGCAGCCCAGACAAGGTTTTCCCAGGCCTCAGGGATTATATGAGGCTGCCAGCATCCTTTCTTGTCAGGGGATAGGGCTGGGAGTGGGGGGACACCATCATTTTAATCTGACATTATTGGGAGGTGTTTTTTGTTTGTTTTTTGGCTACGCTGCATGGCTTGCAGGATCCTAGTTCCCCGACCAGGGATTGAACCCGGGCCCTCTTGGCAGTGAGAGCGCAGAGTCCTAACCACTAGACCGCCAGGGAATCCCCCTCATCTTTTCTTAAGAAATAGAAGTTACTTTTTGTAATGTATTTGGCAAATAAATAAACATACAAAAGTGAAGTGAGAAGCCTCCATTGGTTTCCCTAAAAAAACTAAAAGTGGCTGCTCTGTGAACTCCCCAAATCTAGGCTCCATGGGGCTTGCCCTTTTGATGTCATATGTCCCTGGAGAAGCCATAAGTGACACACAGCCAGCCTTGCTGAGCGCCCAGCTGGATGAGGGGCAGACAAGTTCCAGGAGCTGGGATTCAGGAAGGACCGGCTGGAAGGCTCCTGCCCCACCAGTTCTCTAGTCTCTGCAGGGTAAGGCACCAGCTCAGGCCAGGAGCTGCTGAGAGGGCAGCCTTGAAAGCCAGCAGGGAGATAACAGGAGACAGAGAAACCAAAGCCTCCCCTGATAACCCACCAGGAAGCCAACACAGAACAAAACAGAGAGATAAGGGGCAGACTGCCTTTCTCAAGGCCAAGCGGTTTTAAAAGACACTCCTTGGGGTGGACATCGGGTTTAAAGACTGGGCTGATAAACAGATCCTTTGGTGGGGAGCTAAAGAGATAAATGAGTCTCCACCAGCTGGTTTGGTGACCTCCAACAGGACTGGGCTCCTGGATGGACGGCAGCTGGACGCCTCCAGCGCTCTGAGTTCCGGCCTCATCCCCTACGGTCAAGGCTGGGTTCTCCTATTTCAGGCTCCTCGGGCCTCCCGTTTTAGTCTAAAGTGGGTACAGTTTTGTTTGGTTTTTAAACAAAGGTAGGTAGGCTGTACATCTAAGAAATGCTCAATCAAGTGTCTTTGAGCCAAGGAGGGCCCTGGGGGCCATGTGGTATGACAAAGGCCACCATGTGACCTTGGCTGCTACTGGTGTGCCTGTGCCCGGTGACTGACTTTCTGTGAGCCCAGTGGGGCAGGGCTGGGGGAGGAACAAGACACAGTAGATATAAAGTACTCAGCCAGTACTGCCCCTGCCTGGGCGCTGGGCTTTAGAAGGCCTCACTCTGGTCCTGCCCTCCCTGCTCCACTGGGACCCAGAGTAGAAGCCACGCTCCATTCTAGACTACACTCTGGGTCCCCTGCCTACAAGGCCCCCAGCCCACTTTCCAGACCTGAGCTGGTTTCTGCCCACCCTGTCTTCCCGAGGGCTGGCCAATGGTGCTGTTGTGCAAGAGGACATAGGGAGAGCGTAGAGAGTTCGAACAGACGTTCCGGGGGTGCCGACACACATGACTCCTAGGCTACTCATGGTGCAGGATGGCGCCTGTGATAGAATATGTTCCAGTCACTACTGTATTTCCAGCCACCCCAAAACTTAGTGGTGCGAAACAGGAACAATCATTTTATTGTTATCTCTTACGGTTCTGGAGTTTGACCGGACTCAAGATGGACTGTTCTCTTTTCGGGTCTCTTATGTGGTGGCAGTCAGATGCTGGCTGTGGGCACTGCACCTCCACCTATGCTGCTGTGCGCCTGGACTTCCTTGCGGCATAGCAGCTGGGGTCTAAGAACAAGAGTCATGAAAAGGATCAGGCAGAAGCTGTATCACCTTTCGTGATTTCTATAACTTTCGGTTATAGAAATCATATAGCATCGTTTCTGCTGCAGTCATAAGGCTGCCCAAATGAGATGGCAGGGCACACAGGCTCCACATCTTAATGGGACATGTGTCAAAGTACATTGTAAGAAGGTACTTGGATATATTGTGGTGGCCACCTCTGAAATATGCAACGTGCCCCCAAAGAGAAGGGAAGCCAGCCACGGGTAGGAGCCTCTGTATGTTCTCTTGCCCCAGGCCTGCAAGTGATACAGGCGGTGGCAGTCTTTTGTCACCCAGGTTCCTCTGATCTAGGTGTCCACACCTGTGGGAAGCCATTCTGTTTAAACCAGAAGGTGTCCAGCCAGGATCCCATAGCCAGTCTCCCTGACCTTGTGAGTCCAACAGCAGCAGCTAGGGTACAGGCCTCAGAGGGGAGGAATGATTAAATTAGTCCCAAGAGTTCTTTCTGGCACAAGACTCACCAGGAATCCCCACCCTTTCCCCTCCAGGAGCAGAGGGAGGGAGAATCTGCCACCTGGCCATGAGGTCTCCTATCCCGATGGAGAGCCCAAAGCCCTAAGTTCTAGGCCTCAGTCACTCTGTGATCTTGGACAACTCACTTGCCTTCCAGCCTCACTCTCTCCTCCCCTGTGAATCGGGATGGCGGGCTGGGCTGGCCCTAAAGCCTCTGCCCTCTCCTCCACATCCAGCAACAGTGACCACCTGCTCACACAAGTCCCAGCTCCCCTGTCACCTCCTTAGGAGGACACATCACCCCTTCCAGAATATACCCATCCCTGGCTCCATGGGGGCAAACTTGCCCTGATTTTGATCACAGCTATTTTCCAGATCAGTGCCCAACAACAGGAGATGTTTGCTGCGTCTGACTTCACACAGCCTCTCCTAGGGACTGGCCCATGGCTGGGGCGGCCTCATCCAAATCTCTCCCTCTGTGGTCTTCTTCTCAGAGAGGAACCCTGGGCTGGAGGAGAGGGCAGATTTGCACCATTCAATCGGGTGGTTCAGCAGCAAGCATTTTCAGTTTCTAGGACATGCAGCCCAGCAGGAGGGAAAGGCATCTTCAGCTTAATATGGTGGGGGCTGTACTCTCAGCAGGGAAAAGGGTCAAGGTCAGGTTAATGAGGAAAATCAGGGCCTCATGCAAGCTAGAGGGTGCATCCCCCACTCTGTGATCTCCGGGAGGAAGAAGTCCAGCAGGGAGGAGAGTTTGCTCTCAGGTCCTTAAAGGGAGAAAATGCAAGCAGCTGGGGCTGGTGGAGAGCAATGGGCTGAGAGGGAGGACCCATCACCACCCCCAACCTCAGAGCAGAGCCCACCTGCCAGGGAAATCATACACACCCGGGGGGCCGTCTGGGAGGTAGAGCTGGGTTTCAGTGCTCTGTGGGGAGCGGTGGTCAGTCTTATGGGGGGAGAGTTTGCAGAGACACCAGTCCTGGAAGGTTAGAGAGAGGACTGATGGGACTGTGGGGAGAAGAGGTGGCTTAAGAAAGGAGGTTGTGGGCTTCCCTGGTGGTGCAGTGGATAAGAATCCACCTGCCAATGCAGGGGATGCAAGTTCGATCCCTAGTCTGGGAAGACACCACATGCTAAGGAGTAACTAAGCCTGTGTGCCACAACTACTGAGCCTGTGCTCTAGAGCCCACAAGCCACAACTACTGAGCCTGTGTGCCACAACTACTGAAGCCTGCAGGCCTAGAGCCTGTGCTCCACAAGAGAAGCCACCGCAATGAGAAGCCCATGCACCGCAACGAAAAGTAGCCCCCGCTCGCCAAAACTAGAGAAAGCCTGCGCATAGCAATGAAGACCCAACACAGCCAAAAATAAATAAATAAAAGAAGAAAAAGGAGGTTGTGACCAAGCTGAAATGGAGAGCCCCCCCACCCCTTTACAGGAAGAGACCTGCCCTTACCCCTAGTATCCATCCCAGCCCACGGTTTGCCTCTGTCCCCTGTGTCTGGGCAGTTTTGGAACTGAAAGTATTCATTTCAGTAAGCTCTTTAAGCTTCCCATGGAGGCGGCAAGGACTAACAAAGACAGAGGTGACATTGTTTATAAAAAGGGGTTTACCTTGCGTGGGGTGCTGAAGAGTAATGGCTTGCCTAAGGTTGCCAGATCGAGCAAATAAAAATACAGGACTCCTGTTACCAAAGGCAAGTTGGTGTGCTCGACACACAATGAGGCCAAACAAACCAAAAAGCTGGAAGAGCCAAGAAAGGTTTGTTGCAGGGCCAAGCAAGGGGGACAGGTGGCTTGTGCTCAGAACCCGACGAAGTCCCTGATGGTTTTCAGGGAGAAGTATTTATAGGCAAAATTTGGGGGTGGGGCTGCAGGGTGTGGCGTTCTTCAGATTGGTTGCTGACGAGGTAACAGGGTGGTTTTCCAGGAATCTTGCGCTCAGCCTGAAGTTACCATCGTCCACCTGGGTGGGGGCCTTAGTCCCTGTAGAAGATCAAAGATTTTGTTATGTATATTCCTTGAGCAGGAACCGGGATCCTGCTTTAATAGCTGCACTATAGTTTCTTGATTGTTCCTCCTTTGTTTCTGCATTCCCTTACTTCCCTGATTAGCAACTGTTTAAATCTGTTCCCTGGAACTCAGGGAAATCTAGGAGGCTGAAGCCTTTATCCTGCAAATAAGGAACAAAGAGTGAGGGTGGGGGGCAGATCACAGAAAGGCTTTTGTGCCCAGGAGGGCCCCACAGGGTCCTGCTCGGTTACAATAATACTAAGACATTATTTACCCTTTTCATTATGTTATCATTTGACTGATCACTGAAAAGAATGGTGGGTAAAACTGTTAATGCCTTAGCACAAATTAAGGCAGTGGCACGTGAAGGGATCAGGATATGCCACCCCAAAGTATACCATTTTGGTATAAGGGTTATTGTGACCTGAAGGCAATTGAGAATCAACAGATGCAGGAAGAGTTCTTTATCCTCGCTTTATCTACCTAAAAGTAGGGCATTGATTTCCCTTTGCGGAGGTGTTTCCCTCAGTACCAGGAAGAGAGGAGAGACTCATCACTGGAGATGAAGAGTGAACACAAAGATGAGTCTATGTAGACAGACCTTACTAGAATAACCCTTATCTTCCATCAGTTCCTTCATATATTTCCTAGCCACTTTCCCATGGTTTACTATTCCCCAAAGCCCAAACCCTCTTTCCTTTGTTAGAATGATATATAAGCCCTCAACCCTAATAACTTCTTTGAGGTTCAGTTCTTTTCTGTAAACTCCCATACATGTAAATATTAATAAAAATTGTATGCTTTTCTCCTGTAAATCTGTCTTTTGTTTGTTTAATCCACAGGCCCCCAGATTCTGAACCTAAGAGGGTAGAGGAAAAGTTTTTCCTCCCCACCACACCAAACTATACTGGTAGTCATTGTAGGCTTCATTGCTGTGTATTTGTCACATGAATGCCCTTGATGGAGCAGTAAAAAATATTAATTTTATTAAATCTCAATCTGTGAGTAGTACATGTCTGTCTTTTTAATATTCTGTGTGAGAAAGGGGAAAGTATGCATGAAGCACTTCAACATCCAAAGTATGTTGGTTGTCTCAAGGAAACGCACTCGTGTGATTCTTTGAGTTGCCAGCCAAACTAGCTGTTTTCATGGAATGCCATTTTTACTTGAAAAAAAGAGTGACAAACACTGATGATTCAGACTCTGATAATTTGACAGACATTTTCTTGAAAATGAATGTAGTGAACCTGTCACTTCATGGAAAAGGATGGACACTATTTGTTGCTTACAGTAAAATTTGAACTTTCAAGCAAAAGTTAGAATTTTGGAAAACTTGTATTCATCACTGTGAGCTTCACAGCTTCCTACTGCGATACTGAAACCAAGCAGGACCCTGTGGGGGCACCTGGGCATGGAAGTCTTTCAAACAGTTGCTAATCAGGGAAGGGAGGGGATGAAGAGACAAGGGAGGATCAGCCAAGAAACAGTAGTGCAGCCTTGGGGCAGGGTCCTGTTTCTGCTTCAAGGGTTATACATAACCATGTTTTTGAGTGCTTTTTTTTTTTATCATTTAAAGCTACATTTAACTCTTGTACAACCATCTTTGTATTTTTGGATTATTTTTTGTTTTTTGAATTTTATTTAATTTATTTTTTTATACAGCAGGTTCTTATTAGTTATCCATTTTATATATATTAGTGTATATATGTCAATCCCAATCTCCCAATTCATCACACCACCACCCTACCTCTTTGAGCTCTTTACAGAACTAAAACCCCGAACAAATGGAAAATGTTAGCATTCTCCATTCTGGAGAAGATCATAGTTTAATAACCTTGAGAACTTCATCAAGAGACTACTTGAGGCCAGATTAAAGGAACCAGAGAAGCTCATTAGAAGGAGACCACCTGAGGCCAGATTAAATGAGTGCAGACCCTGAACACAGCCTAATCCTTATCAGCAACCTGCCCTTGAACCATTGCTATAAAACTCCTCACCAAATCCTCCTAGGCTGGGACACACAGTTTTGAGGGACACAAGCCTGCTGTGTCCCCCTTTGCCTGGCAAAGCAATGAAGTTATCCTTTTCTACATCACCCAAATCTCTGTCTCCAAGATTCGATTCAGCACAGAGGCCGAGTTTTTGGCATCAAAACTGGGATATAATAAGAAATATGTATTTGGTTTTCCTCCATTTATTTGCACAGAGCTCCTATAACCCTTGGAAGTTCCAGAGTCATGGGGTGAGAGAAGGTCTTTTGTTATTCATCATAAGCCCCTTTCAACCACACCTGAATTTATGCTAATGAGATGACTTCCGAAGGATGTTGGGCTGGTTGCCAGAGGAACTAATCCTAAGATTAGAGGGGATTGTGAAACCATGCAACTCAGATTGGGACTTGAACCCACGTGCTTGGACTTGAAGCAAGCCAAAACCCAGATTGGGACTTGAACTCACGTTCTTTTTCTTTTTTTGGC